TCACATGTGGCTGATTTGAGGATCTCTTGTTTGCTTGGCTGGAACCTCCTCCACGCTGCAGGCTGAGGTTACTTCTGCTTCTCCATCCTTTTTTCCTCTCCTTTCTCAGACAGACTGAAGGTTCACCTGAACCTCAGACTGCCTGAAGTTTCCTCACATTCATCCTTCGCAATAGAACATCTAGTCTCTCCTTTTGCTTTTCAAAGAACTTTGGTCAACTTCTGTAGCCATGAATAAAGTTGGCCTGCCTTATTCATCCTCTATTGTGTCCTATAGTGTTAGAATTAAGTTTATGCTAGTGTTTGTGTCCCTTCCAAAATCCGTGTGTGAGGTACCACTTCTGCTTAGACTCAAAGCCTCGAAATGTAGGGACACATGAAGACACTTAAGGATAGGATTCCACTATCAGGGGCATGTGCATAATGGACCACAGTTATCTAAGAGTGACTTAGCATACTTAAGCACACATGTGCGGCATGGCCAAGGTCATACAGCTGGTATTTGTTAGCATTCCTCATTGTGTGATAAGTCACGATAACTTTTGTGAACTAAAGAGTATCGTAGCTCTTTTAGCTGTTATTGCTGAAGAAATAAAGACAAGCAGCTCTTGAGCTCTTGAGCCTGTCTCTTGCTCTCCTGCTGTTACACTGCCCTTACCCTGATAAACAGCTCCATGTGTTCTTTATTGGGAATTCCCTCACTCACTGACAGTACCAAAGACTGCATGGATTAAACGAACCTCTCCCCCAGTGCCCTATGGGGATGCTCAGCTTTGACACCATGTTAATCCCTAATGCAACACTACTGGGAGATGTGGCTTTTAGGAAGTGATTGAGTCAAAAGCTGCACTCCTGGGAAAGGGATGAAGTGCCCTTATAAAAGGCCATGACGTAGGAGTTCATTCCCTTGCATCCGTTCCATCCTTTCCACTATCTGAAGACACAATGTTCTCTTCAGACAATGCAGTGACCAGGAGCCATATGAGAAGCAGAGACCAGGCTCTCACCGACAGGTCTGTGCCCTTGACCTTGGACTCTTGGCGTTGAGAACTGTGAGAAAGAAATTTCTACTCTTTGTAAATTACTCAGTTTCAGGTAGTCTTTTGTTATAGCAGCATAAATGGACTAAGGCCAGTATCCTCATATAATGAGTTGAAAATGTTCCCTCATTTTATGATCCGGAAGTGTTTATGATGGTTTGAAATTTGCACATTACATGCTTGGTAGAACTCAACTGTGGGTCCGTCTGTACTTGTTTGCTTTTGTTTTGTTTTCTCAAGAAAGACTTATTATCGTGAGCTCAATATTAAAACTATTCAGGCTTTTTATATCATCCTGTTAACACCTTGGTCTTAGACTTCCTGACTCCCAGAACTGTAAGGCAATAATACATTTCTGTTGCTTCCACTATGATCCTTGTGGTGTTTTGTTATGACAGTATAAGCAGGGACATACAGAGCTTTTATTACCTGAAGTCTGGCAGGTTAGAGAGACAAGTCTTTCTGGGATAGAGCATGTACTTTCCCAGCTTCCTTCATGAAGACTATGAGGACCGTCTAGGTTCAGAGTTGTCTTACTCTGGGCTTATCCTGGGTAGCTGAGGAAAAACAGAACCTATTTCTCACAGTCTTGGAAGTTGGGAAGCCCTTGACTATGACGCCAGCAGATACCGTGCATGGTGAGGGCCCACTTCCTACTTCATAGATGGTGCATCTTGCTGTGTCCTGCTTCTAGAAGGAAGTAATCTTCTCAGGCCTCTTTTATTAAGGGAACTAATCCCATGGATGAGATCTCTGTTCTCCTGACCTGATCACCTGCCCAATGCCCTCCACCTCCGAATGCCATCATGTTAGGAATTAGATTTCACTGCACGAATTTGGGAGAGCACAAAACTATAGCTAAAGTGGAAACTGATGTCCTTCTTCCCTCCTCCCTCTCCTATCACTACTCACCTTTATTCCCTTAATCTCATAGCTGTAGAAAAGCGATTTTGTTCTCTTAGCATCTTTGTTAAGGGTTGATCGTGGCAAGCTAGATCTTCATTGTGCATGTTAGACTAAAGTCTGACATTCTTTTATTTTTCACCAGCAGCCTCTCCCATCTGCCACTACTGTGAGAAAACTTAGCTGGACTTTTATTCACATTATTTCCATGGGTCTCTCAGTCCTTTTGGCAACTTCTTTCAGACTTAGGCTTTATGTCATATTTTCCTTCTCTCCACCCCTCCTTTTTTTTTTAATCTCCTTTAATCTTGGATTAATGTTATACATAAAAGAACCAAGCATTAATCTCCGCTTCTCTCTGGGTGGTGAGAACATAGTTTCTTTTTATGAGTTTCTCAAAGAGAATGATAAGGAAAATGCTAACAATGTAATTAAAGATAAAAACAAAAGAAGACTTAACGAGAGATTTGAATTCCTATGAGATGGGCTCCTGGGAGGCTTTGCATTAAGGTCTAATTTCTGAAGTCACAGATAAGGGAGAACAGCTCATTTTTTCTGCTTCTACAATGTGATTTTTAAAAGGGATGTGAAGAATTTTGAAGGGTAGGGAATCCACTAGTCTCAATGTGTATGAGCAGAATTCCTTGTTTTCCTGGTGTTTCCACCCCCTCCCTTGCAACGGATAAAACTGTGACTTGCTTTAATGTTTTTTAATACTAATGATTCATATGTGTGAAGAAAAGCAACATGGGGCTGACGGATTCCTGGAATGACTTTCATCTAAGCCAAAGATAGTACAGAAATGGGAAAGGTCATGGAAGAAATCAGATTAGGAGGCAGAGGGGAACAGATAGGATTAGGAGCAGAGTGGTGAAGATAGCTAAAGGATGGAAACAAAAATCAAATAGAAACAATTCTCAAGGGACTAAAGAGGTAGATTTTACACTGGTAATGCTGATTACACCATTTAACATGTTGGTTTTGGAATATGGGGAACAAAGGGACAGAGAGCCCTGGAGGAATCCCAGAGTGAATAGCCTGTCCTGTCAGATGACTTTGTTAGGATGGCCAGATGTAATACACTGTCAAACTTGTACACTTGTGAGTCAGAAAGGGCACTATTAATTATTGTGCTGGGACAACAGGGTCAAAATATCCCATCCCAGGCAAGTCACCTAGGGCTCCCTTTAGCGGCCAATCTTTTCTTTAATCTTGCAGTGCCTGTAGTTACAACATGACAGAAACCCCAGCTATCACTCACTGCCTACCAGCAGGGCTTTAGGTAAGACTATCTTACCATTCCACTCAGCAAATCCAGAGAGAGGTAAATGCAAACACAGAAAAATTACTGCAAATGTCTGCCTCGTTATTCCTGGAGGAGAGGGGATAGTAATAAAACAGGAATTTGGGACTGAGAGCAGTCCAGGGATGCACCCACAGGAGTTTAATTTTAGAACAAACACTATCAATCATTGCAATTCTGTTGCCTCCAGGCTAAACTTCCCCTCTTCTGCTTATCCAAATTTTATCCATCCGCCAGAGGCCTGTGTGCGTGACATGGCTCCGGGGAGGCTCTTCCTGACTACACTGCTTAATTCTCATTGCTCCAGGTTGTGAAACCTTACCACTCAGTTAGCATTGCTTTGCCACATGACTTAACGCCCACAAATCTCAGCTCCCCAGGAGAAAGGTAGGGATTTTTTCATTTGGTGTCTAACACAATTCTGCAAACACAAAAGTCATGAAAAATATCTGTTCTCTGCTTACTGCACAGGTATTACCCTGAATGACAGCAGGGCTGGCTGCAGGGGATAGGCCAGAGGGAACGATATAAATAACGTGAAAAGATAGCAAAATAGATATTACTTATACACACACCAAAGCAGCTGAGTTTCATAAATCAGCACCCAGGGAACTTGTCTCATTCCTCTGTATCTTGCTAGCAACTTCTTTATCTGAGCCCTTGCTGGATACTTCAGATTGCATAATGGAATTTGTCATACTCATATGCTGCGCAGACTGGTTTTCATTTTTTAATGTTAGGAAATCTATTTGTTACTTTGTTAGAACTGAAATCACGCACAGGCGCGAAGCCAGCTGAAGTCATTTTACAGGAACTGTCATCATTTTTGCATAAGTTACTCAATTATACACATGCCTACTTACAGTGGGGTTATGTTCCAGTAAACTCATAAATTAAAAGCACCATGAAATGAGAATGCATGTTATAAACCTACCCTACTATTGTATCTTAGCAACACAAGACGCTGTGGAATGTTTAGTCTCCCCTCCTTGTGATTGGATGGTTGAAATGTGGTATTGCATCACATAGCAGTAGCCCAGGAAGACCAAAACTCAAAGTATAGTTTCTACTGAACATGTATGACTTTTGCATCGTTGTGAAGTAGAAAAATCCAGAAGTTAAGCCATTGTAAGTCTAGGACCATCTGTTAATATCTACCTATAAATTCTGGGGCGGGGATTGAACCCAGGGCCCTGTGTATACTGAGCATGTGCCCTGCCACTGAGCTATACCTTAAGCGTGGATTTTAAATACATATAAAAAATTAAGACATAGTGAATTCTACTTAAAATGACCCAATTAAAAACTGTACCTCAGCCAGGTGTGGTGGCGCATGCCTGTAATCCCAGCACCCAGGAGGCTGAGGCAGGAGGATTGCTGTGAGTTCGAGACCAGCCTGGGCTACATAGTGAGTTTCAGGTCAGTCTCAACTACATAGTGAGACCCTGTCTCAAAAAAAACAAAAAAACTGTACCTCAAGCAGAAACGAGATGAATTTATTGATTTAAAACCCAAATATAATTTTAGAGGCAAATTAAGCAATAAGACCAAACACAGAATTACTTGAGTATTATAAAATAAATAACACAGCAGAAGAGTTTTTCCAAAGATTTATTGAAGCAGAAACAGGTTGGTCAGATACTTGCTGGAAGAAAAGCAGTTTTAATGGTATTCAAAAATACTTTGTAAAAAGTATTCTAGCACAAGACTTCTTTGTAAACTAGATTATGTTGTAAACTTTTTTCTAACTCTTTTAGGAGTGTCGGGTGTTAAGAACTAGAGTTTCTATTCCAAATCTATCTTGCGCTCCTGAAAAAACTGCAGAAAGGCACTTGAAAGCTGTTTCTTTAAGATACGGATTTCTTTTTTATTCTTGCTGGTAAAATATTGCTGCACTGAGTACGTGCACTTTTTATTCCAGGTCATCGTGATGCTGAGAAGTTTCATTGATAACCTGTTGACAAAGAAATAAAACTCAAATCAAATATAATACTCCATATAGAAGTTTAAATTACCCTGTAAGTCATGGCAAGGAGAAATCCTACTGAACATATACAGCTCATTATGCAAATTCAAAGGTTAAGATGATTCTGCCTGGGGAGGGTTAGAGCACTGGAGGACAGATGCGTATGCAAGACACCCTTCACCTACTGGCATAACAAGTAACCCAAGAAAAGTTGTGACGTACAAAAAGAAAACTCTTAAAACTGTGTTTATGAAGGATGCCATGATAATCCTATGCTGTAAAGTTTAAAAGCCACTGAGACATGTTAAAGTGCATGGCTAGTACATGTTAAATTTATGGGCAAGCTAAGAGCTCATAATCACAATAGAGTGCTACCATTTCTTTCCTGGTATGGAGAGTTAGCAAGAATTGCTTGATCCTGTGGCACATCCTTGTACTCTATAAGCAGGTTGAGGTGTACTTAGGTGATAGTAAGAGTGGGCCCTATGTCCAGGATCAAAACATTCTGGATATTGGGGTAGTCTAGTGAGCTCCTCTATGATGCTAGATTAGGAAGTAACTTAAGCAAGTTTCACTCCCATTGCAAATTAAGCGCCACTGCAAATCACAACTTTTAGGCTTCAGGAGGAGCTGCTACCTTACCTTTATATCCAGGGCCCAAATAATGCATTGGCAATGTGCATTGCTGGAATAAGGACCTATTCTGGTTTTGTTTTGTTTTGTTTTTTGTAGTCATGAAAGAAATGGGAACCTCTCAAGTTACCCAGCTGTATCTGATGTATACAGGTTTACTAATTTAAAAGAGGAACAGGACCTCTGTGAATTACTCCATTCTTACATTTCATTTGTATTTTTTAAAAATGTTTCCCATGTTTTAATTTTAAAAATACCAACCTGTCCATCTCTAGTTTCAACTGTCTTAATCAGAAGTGTCCTTTTTGAGTGGGTGTCAATCAGAGGAAGCGATTCCAAGTTGGTTTCTGAAGAAAGAAGCATGTCCAAAATGAGCACAAATGAAATTTTTACAAAGAACATTTTATTCAGACAATTCTAGTTTTTTTTGCAGTTATTTAAAATGGTACTCCCAAATAAGTCTAAAAGTAATACCTGTTTGAAAACCCAGCACCTAATAATACGGATGACTTCACCTCAGAATAGGACAGTACTTTGGTGTGTACTTTAGGAAGAAGTGAAACAGAGTTTACCCTGAACTTCAAGTACAGACTGCAAGAGAATGCTTGAATTTGAAAATTAGGGATGATTTATAGAATTTTCTCTTGCATGGCATTTTTCATGTTATCATTAAAAAATTAATGTTTTACCATAAAAAGAACAGTAATAACCCAGTAACATTGTTCATAAAAGGATATAAAATGCTTACCCCTTAGGTTCAGGGAAGAAAAGTTTGGAAGAGGCAGCGAAATCCTATTAAAAAAAAACAAAAAGGAACATTATTGGAAAATAACTTTAACAAGGAACAAACCACACACTTCCTTTTTTCATCAAGTAAGAAGTTTTGCTCTTGTAATTCATAAGTTAGGGATTTGTGTCAGAAGCACCTGGTCTCGGAACATTTAAAATGTTTTACGTCAAGCATTTTCTTCACAGAGGCCTGAACTAGAGGCATGATAGAAGAAAAGTGTTGTTTTGTGGACTCAAATCCTAGCTCTGGTATTCATTAGGTCTGAACATGGCGAATTACTCCCTGTGAACCTAAAGTTCCTCACTTGTAAAAAGGGGAAAGGAACAATTCTGAAGAAGTGGTTCGAAGATTGACTGAGATAATGTACTTAACAAGGGTGGCAGAGGAGCTAGCACACGTCAGCTGTTAATTCCCGAGAGAAAGTCTGGATTCCCTACCTGCTCTCCTCGCCTTCCAGCAGCTTCCTGTAGGTGGCGATCTCGATGTCAAGAGCCATTTTGACGTTGAGCAGGTCTTGGTATTCACGCAGGTGACGCGCCATCTCTTCCTTCATGTTCTGAATCTCATCCTGCAGGCGCCCAATAGTGTCTTGGTAGTTAGCAGCTTCGACGGCGAAGTTCTCTTCCATTTCACGCATCTGGCGTTCCAGGGACTCGTTCTGCAAGAGGTCAGAGGGCTCCAGATGTCATTTCGCAGGAACACCCAGCTATTTCCATTTATTACCCCCAGTGGCAAATGGTGCCCCCTCTAATTGCAGGTGAGAGATACAAGTACCGAGTCCCTCCTATGGGAAGCAATGTCTTATTACAGCCAGAACCTTCTGGTCAGAGCACTACTTGAGAGTCTTGATAACTCACTTTCTTTTGATAAAAATATAAATGTATATCTCTATGTTGAACGGAATGAGTCCAGGCTCATTATTTTCCTTCTTCTGCAGCATGGTACTCACAGTTCCTTTAAGCGCATCCACTTCACAGGTGAGGGACTGCACCTGTCTCCGGTACTCATTGGACTCCTGCTTTGCCTGGCGCAGGGCATCGTTGTTCCGGTTCGCAGCCTCCGAGAGGTCAGCAAACTGTCAGGGAGAAATCAGAATGGAGAGTCAAGCGTCAGGGAAAGAAATCGTAATTCTGATTCGGTGCGGTCAGAAGTATGTCTGGATTTCTGTTTGGCAAGCCAGAGAAAAGAGCACTGAAAGGCTGACGCGGATATTTTCAAACAGGATTCGTTCTTCTCTGCTCATTTTAACATGGTAGGAAGCCAGGCGTGGTGGTGCACACCTAGAATTCCAGCACGTTAGAGGATGAAGCAGGAGGCTCGCCCGAGGTCGGGGCCAGCTTGGGCTACGTGGTAAGTTCAAGGCCAGCCTGCACAACGTAGTGAGATCTCTGTCTCAAAAATACAATAAAATTTTTTTAGAATGGTAGTCATTAGGGGCGTGGTCTTGGGATGTCTTTGAAGCAGGCAGCAAATGGAGCCTGCTGTTCTGAAGGAGACACTATGACTGGTGGCGGAGGCTGTGATGACAAAATGTGAACAAATGCAAGCCAGCTTTTGAGTTGCGCTAGAAGATGTTTAGAAATCCCAGACAACGTGTGTGGTGTTTTTAGAATAAGATGCTTTTTTCTGTTCTACCACACAGACTTAATTCCTACCTTGGACTTGTACCATTCTTCTGCCTCCTGGAGGTTCTTGGCAGCCACGCTTTCGTACTGCTGACGTACGTCACGCAGAGCAGCCGTGAGGTCAGGTTTGGAAACATCCATATCGATCTGGACATGCTGCTCCTGAATCTGGGCTTGCAGCTCCTGGATCTCCTGAGAAAGACCAGGTAGAAGGGTCAGCTGAGTGGTGCATGGGGGCAGCTGCTCCCTCCTTCATTCACGGACAGTCATCCCCCTTACCTCATCATGCAGTTTCTTCAAAAAGGCAATCTCTTCTTGTAAGGATTCCACTTTACGTTCAAGGTCCAGACGTGACAGACACGCGTTGTCCACATCCTACGGCGAAAAGGACAAAGGCAGCTTAGGGGGATACGAAAGTCTATGGTTTCTCTCATCTATTCCTTTTCATCTCACCACGGTAACCTAGTGTTCCTACCTCAGGAAAGGTGTTGACAAATGGCGCAACTCTTGAGAAAGTGTATAAATCACTCAGTGCTACACTTTACTATGCTTTCTTTTCTTAATTATAAACTTGAATCTGGACCCATCCTATTGCTCTGAAGGTGGCTTAACAGGTAACTTAAAAATAAGTTAATGTACACCAACAGGGTTAAACTCAATTCTTATTGAATCCACATTTTTCACCAGTGAAGCCTTATTATTTTTTTAAAACTACAAAATCAGTGTCTCCACATTTTAAAGATCTGTTTTTTATAAGCTCGTGTAATAAGATGGTGTTAGAGATTGGCCAGATTTTATAACTTCATCCATGCACAAATACCGTAGAATGAAAAGTTGTGCTTCCAAAATTTCAGCACATGCTCAATTTGTTTTTCTCTGTGCAAATACTTTGATACTTAATCCTTGGGATCCACAGCAAGTGTTTAGTTATCCAAGCACCCAGGTTACAAGGCTAGATTTAAATCAAGCAGCAGATCAATGGTCCAATTCAGGAAATATATGGACAAGGATGCAGTTCAGACAAATAACGAAAAGAAATTGAACTCTGAGGTACATGTGAGATGCCATCTCTGGTGAAGTTTTTCTCCTCATCCTACAAGGGTGTGTCAGTCTTATTCACCTGTTACTCTGTGATTTGGTTACTTGGCTTGTTTCGGAAGGACTCCTCAAAATGCTTGCATAGAATGAAACCATATATAGAATTCTTGCTGATGTTGTGCTGTTATGTTCCTATTTATAACATGTTACATTCCTAACTAGAATGTTCAGTCTTGCAACTAAGATTTTCTTTCACCTCAAGGGAATGTCTTTATACCTTGTCTTGTAAGCAATTTTATTTGGAGTATCTTTTATAGCCTTGGCTATACTTCACCTTTATGAAAAAAATAATAATTAAAAGGTAATACTAATAATAAATGGAGTGGGAAACAACTTTTGCTTCTTGTTAAGCCCTAATAGATAGCTATATGATATTTTACTAACCACTTTAAAGAAAGTTCAATGAAGAGAATGAAGAATTTTATTTAATGTGTAAACATTATATCTTTTCATATTCATGTGCTTTATTAACTCTTCTGCAAAAACACGAACAATGATCATAAATGCTCAATGACTAAAATAACTCCTATTGCTGCATTTCAGTTAATTTGGTAGATGTGTTTCAGCTTCAAAATGTCATCCTAGACTATTTATCTGACAGTGGTTTGCAGCCCAAATCAGCAAGCATTCCTGAGAATAAAACTATGTTGGGAATCTTCCTGCTTTGGGATTCCAATTGTAAGTTAACCATCCTTTAAATCTGTCTAACTTTGAAACAACAACAACCACCCCCCCGCAAAAAAAACCAAAACCCTTTTTATAAGATTCCATTTTTCAGCCTTGGGCTTATTTTCATTTACAGAGAAAGTGCTAAAGAATATATAAGACCCCAATTTTTTTTAAAAAAAAAGGCTTTTCACAGTGTGAGGAATCTGTAGCTTTTCCCGCAAAAAAAACCAAAACCCTTTTTATAAGATTCCATTTTTCAGCCTTGGGCTTATTTTCATTTACAGAGAAAGTGCTAAAGAATATATAAGACCCCAATTTTTTTTAAAAAAAAAGGCTTTTCACAGTGTGAGGAATGACTGTAGCTTTAAAAACTTTCACTCACAATACTTCACAAGTCTGGGCCAGATAGTAGATAGCGGATGCTAGCAAATACTTGTGTCCAATTAGAACTCTGCTTGCATCATTACATATTCAATATGAATGTAGCCGGTTGCAAAGCTGCTGTGGGAACACAAAGCCGGCTATTATTTCTGTGCCAAGCCACCACACTGGCCAGAATGTCTGTATCGACATTCCATAGTGAAATCCATAGAAACCCTCCAGCCGGGACAGATGGCTCCTTTTCACCCTTATTAGATCACAAAGTAGTTGTGCATTGTGATAACTCCCATCTAACTTTAATGCCACAATGGAACCTGCAGAACGAAAAACGAAAGAAACTTGCTGGCTTAATTCCAGGTAAACTAAGTTTCTTATCCTCTGATACATTTTGCATTTTAAACTACAAGGCCTAACTGTGATTTCTGCCTACCCATCGTGGCTGAAGCAAACCACATTCTAAATGAAACAAACTGAAAACTACAACGTCACTATGTTGCAAAAACGAAACGGGCAAAAAATACGTTTGGGGACGGTGGTGCTGCAAAACCTTGAAACAAAGTAAAAAAGTTAAAAGCCTTTCTCTATGCCATAAGGAACAGTTGAAAGCATTCCAGGGGGTTTGTTCTGAAAAGTTCCAGTTTGCGGTCTTCCTGCCACTAGGGGGCTTTGGAGAGGACCGTGACATTTTGCACTTTTTAGAGTCGGGTGAAGTAAGTTAGAACCACGGTGGGTGGCTGGGTGGGGTGGTGGCTGCAAGTGGGAAGAGAATCCAGTGTACAAACCTGTCTGAAAGATTGCAGCGTGCCCTCGGCTTCCTCTCTCTGCAGCATCTCTTCTTGCAATCTGAAACAGTTGCGCATTAATCAAAGGGGAACTGGCAACCGCCAGGGGCGGGGCAGCCACACCCAACCACGTCGCAGTCTCAGTCGCGGCTCCTCCCAGCCAGAGCTGCTGCGCCACCTTCGCCACCACCCGTGACCGTGGCTTTCCGGGCTGCCGCCCAGGGCAGGTCTTAGAGCTAACTGGGCACGGCGCAATAAGGCGATCACTGTCGCCCCACAGACCCGCAAGACCCGGCCCACCCCGGCCCACCCCGGCCCGGGAAGCCCCTAGCATCCCTTTGTCTCGCACAGCTTCGCTCCTCCCTCCTCCCTCCGGTACCTGGCAGCCCGCCAGGAGGGACTAGGAAACTTTCTAAAAGTTTAGGGGACTCTGCGGTGTCCGAGGGCTCTCAGCTACAGTCCGTGTGGTAATTTAAAAAGCTCAGAAACTTGAAACAGGGAGTTTGGGGGCAATGGGTGTAGGCAGAGGGGAAACGCCAGCCGCAAGGTCTGGGTTCTGGGCGGAGCCACACCCCAGCTTCTCCGCGGTACCCCGGACGGCCAACGCCCAGGCCCCAAGCTCAAGGAAGGGCGTGGCAGCCCTTTGCGCGCGGGGGGGTCCCCATTCCCATCTCCTTCCCTCGCCCCCCCTCCCGGGCCCCGCGGGCTGCAAGGGCGTCGCCTTACTTCTCCCGGAGGCGCATGATGTCCTCGGTGAGATTGTCGCGCTCCACCTCGACGCGCGCTTTGTCGTTGGTGAGCTGGTCCACCTGCCGGCGCAGCTCTCGCATCTCCTCCTCGTAGAGGTCCCCCAGGCGCGACTTGCCCTGGCCCTTGAGCTGTTCGAGCTCGGCCAACAGGATCTTGTTCTGCTGCTCCAGGAAGCGCACCTTGTCGATGTAGTTGGCGAAGCGGTCATTCAGCTCCTGCAGTTCCACCTTCTCGTTGGTGCGGGTGTTCTTAAACTCGGTGTTGATGGCGTCGGCCAGCGAGAAGTCCACCGAGTCCTGCAGCAGCCGCACCCCCGGCACGCTGCTCCGCAGGCGCACGGCAGAGGAGCGGGTGACATAAGCGCCCCCGGGGGA